GGCTATTTCTGTGAATGTTTCTATATAGTATAACTCTAAACTATATATAGCTTACAAGCTTACAATTATATATATAGCTTACAAGCTTACAATTTTGTGAGATAACCATTGTTTCTTCTATATATGAAGAGCTTTTTACTTTCACAATATAATATGATGACCGCATGCCATCAAACTCTGCTCCACTTCCACTTTACTGTTTTGCAATTGTCGCACACTGGAACTCAATTATCTCGTAGATTATTTTAATTATATATTATATATAAGACTTATGCATTCCTTAAGAAAAATACATGATTTTTATCGAAGTACTGAAATTGTTTTAATATTTACTAATTTGACTTTGAGTCAAATATTGATTTTAACCTATTTGATTTTAACCTATTTGATTTTAACCTATTTTTTTAGGTTAGATCAATCGCATGTAACTTATTTTAAAGGGCTGGTTTAGACTCATGGCCTTTACCATTATTTATGGGTTATTTCAACCATAAAGAATAGGTTATATTTGTATTAACCAAAACTTATAGGTTAAATTGACCAAATATTGGTTAAAATGACCAAATATTTATAGGTAAAAAAAACCTATATTTATTTGGCAAAAACAACCTATATCTCTGAGTAGATTTAACTGTTTAAATTTAGGTTGTTTTAACCTAAAAATAAATGTTATAATAACATATTTTAAATAGGTACAATTAACTATATTACAGGTTAAAATAACCCACTAGAAATGGTTTGTTTTAACCTATTTAGTTTTAGTTATGTCTACCTATTTAAATAACCTATTTTAAACCGGTTGTCCTAGACCAACTGAAATAACCTAATTTTTTTTTGTTATTTTAACCTATCAGTTTTTACAGTGCGGCCCCAGATGTTTTATAATAACGTAACCATGGCTATTAGCTTGATATCCTTCTACCTGATTCTTTCCACTGTTGAAAGATCCACCTCCTGCTCCACACGAATTAAACACATTTTCACCTGATGCTCCACCGGAATATCCTCCTCCCCGGCCGGCATCTCCACCTAATCCGTATACACCCCTACCTCCTCCAAATCCTCCGACAGCATTATTGCGCTTCCCACGACCACCTCCTCCACCATGAGCTAAACGACTTCCTCCTTCCCCGCCAACCCCATAGGCTCCACCAAACTGTGTGTTGCAACGTCCATTACTGTAGAATCCATCACCAGCGCCACCTTCAAGAATATATAAATATAAATTATTTCTGTGAATATATTTTAATAAAAAGCTGGAGTCAATAATTCCATAATTAATTTGTTTTCCAAAATCTGAATACTTTCTGCAACACAATCGAAAAATTTATCAACAATCAACATGTTTGGAAATAAGTATCAGACAACAAATATCTCAAGTTTTAAATACATGCATGAATAGTTTTGCTTAATAATTATTATGACAATATTACAAACAATAATTTTACAACGACGCTTCGGGTGCTAATTCTTTCGCGCATTATTTTCAAGCTGAAATAACTAATGAATATTAACATAATTATGCATATTTTCTAATTAAAAAATTCGTGTCACATGGTCATGGCAAATTACAACCTTGTTTCCAGGGTATTTTTCCTTCACGGCTAAAGGTCGACAAAAATGGCCCTGGGATCGGCTGATCAATTTTTCAATCCCATTGGTCTGTTAAAAAACGCATTAATTATCCGGTAGTATAAATTATTCAACTCTGGTGCTTTAAAAATTCTTTTGTCTTCATATCAGTGGCGGCAATTCAGTTCAGGTCGGGGGCAAAGCTTTGCGAAGTTCCGATCATTGAACTAGCTATAAGTAAACTGGAACGCTAACTCAGGGGAGGGATTGAAGCCATGCCTTGAGGTAGTGCCAGTCCTTTTTTCCTTTCTCCCTTAATTCCGTTTTCATCTTAGAGCAAACTATGACAATTATAGTCTTCTCACTCAAGTACTTACAATAAACATATCAAAACATCCCTGGCTGATAACAGCATGCAGCCAGCAGATACGTTGACATATAAAATATTAATAACTAATCCGAAAAAGAGGCACCATAGAATAGGTAATAGAAGGGCAACTCAGATATGAAGTTTTTAAATTTGCATGTTGACCTTGACCACCATTTTTCTGACCTGTAAACACTAAACTACATAAAATTTAGAAGTCTCGCATTGCCCATTATGTTCCCTTCATTTCCTATTCTATGATGGTACTAAATTGTACAAAGTGGCCGCTCATTATTTATTGTATAAGGGGCCTGATGAGAAACTCTGTAGATGAGAAACTCTGTAGAACATTGAAACAGAATTCTCAAAGACCCCTCCCCCCCCCCACACACACCTAAGCAAGAAACAAAAAATTCTGAAACCCTCTCCAAAATATCAAAAAAGCACTTCGTTCATAACATTTTTAAAAACATATCACACTGTTCAAAAACTCTCTCCTCCGCAGAGGCTTTAGTTTTCTCAGGATTTAATATTACGATGAGATACATTTCACTACACTTTACATGGCGGATCTTGGAACACGAGCGTAGCCTCTGGGCGAAGGAGCGCAGGCGGCAAAGAGAAAGGCGAAGGAAGGCGCGAAGCCTCTGCACAATTTGCATCGCAAAGTGGGATAAAGTGGGACAAAGTGTAAACATCGAAACAAAAGTTGATTTTTGAGCTAAATAAAATACGCCTTTTTGAAAATTAAATCATTATTTAATGCATGATTGATTGACCTCATTGACTAGTGCTTGCATGTTTGTGGATGGTCAAAAGTAATAATATTTTTTAACATTTAATACACAAAGCAAAACAATCGTATATTTTACTCACCGCTTGGCCAAACATTCTTCATTTCGTATCGAGAAAAACTTGAATATTTCTTGAACTCTTCGGAATTCGCCACCAGTCAAAGAAGTAAAATACTCCTTGTATTCAAGCTCTTTCGTGTAGAAAATTTCTTTTGAATACGGTCAGTAGAAATATTTATTTTTAATTTTTCAAATATCGGGTCTTTACTCGCACAGTCGCACGCGCCTGCATGTCACACGCTGATGTTCGGGAATTAGTTCACAATCAGACCAGGAATGGAAATACCATAATAAAAGATGAAGTTTTCAAGATACAAGCTCAAAAATAACACTCTAAGTAGTGTTTTGAATTCGCTTTCGAACAAGAGTAATACAAAGAGGATGCGTCACAAGGAGCCGAAGTTATGTTCGCCGAAATGTATGCTAGTTTATATTTATCAAGTGTAAACATTGCGTGATTTGATAATATACAAAATCCCGCTTGACTTTCAAAGGCCATAAATCGCTATAGTGTTGACATTTCACTAAAACTATCGATAGAAATTAGGAGATATTTTTGTACTGAATCGAATGGCGGTATTTTCACCTACATAGCATATATTGATCCAAAGATACGAACCTCCAAATAACCAGGTCGAAACCGACTGAAGGTCACGTTTGTTTATAAATATTGCTGAAGTTGAAATAGTTGAATTGTATTTTCAGTCTTGATAATAAATTTAATAATGGTTCTGTATGCTATACATACTCATTTTTTTCTTTTATGCGGTTTTGGACACATTTCTAAAAATACAAATGTCAAATATAAATTTAAATACAAGTTCCTAGCTTCGCTTGCAACCAAAACCTGTTCGCTAAATACGTTGTTTCCATGCATTGTTTTATAGTGTAGGTGGCAGACCGTGTCTAGAAAAAATGCAGATGTTTTCTCGCAAACTGGACATAACACTTTCTTATTTCGTAGAGATAGTAAATAATCTCTTTAAGATTCTCTTTGTCAGCTTGTTGCGGTATTGTAAAGAGATATTTTCTCAGACATTTTGACTTGAATTTTGCGTTTGATAATTATACGCCCCCCCCCCCTATTTACCCCCATATTGGGTGTGGCATCGTGCAAAGGCTTCGCGCCTTCATAGCCAATTAAAGCCTCTGCAGAGGAGAGAGGTTTAAAAACGTATCACATTGTGAACTTTTTGAAGCTTCAGTGTGATCATAGTCTGTCAAGATATGATGGTCGGGTATCCTGGCAAACTTCAAAGCCACAAAAAAGAAGACCTTTGTTTGATGATGAACTGAACCTCATCATGCACAAATCCTTTATCTCAACTTCATTAAATACTAGAAAATACATGCATGCAGAAACCCTCGCCTTGCTGACAAAACCCATTGTATTTTCCAAACATGAAGTATCCAAAGTTGTTGTCATGGTAATAACACGATAATTTTTTAAGAATATTCTTACAAATGAAAAATTGCCTAAAAATATCAATTTTAATTACAAAATTATCAATTTCCCAACATATATTTGTTAGGTATGTTATTATTCGTAATATAAGCTTCAATTTAAGGTAAAATTCAACCACAAAAGCTTCGCAAAACGTTTTAAAACGTTCTTTATAAAACTAAATTGCCTGGCTTTAATTAAATGGCTTTATCGATAAACTTTGAGTTTGCAACAAAATGATTTCAAATTCTCGCATGCAAATAACTTTGCTTTCTTTTTAGTAAAAAAATTCAATATAATAAAAAAGGAATCAATATTAATAATACACTGAATTGACTGGAATTATATGCTGTCTTGTTTAGTTATTTCATATACGCAAAGGGCCAAAGGCCGTCTGGTTTTAAAGCAATTATAAAATCAATATTTAACACAAACTTACCTTCGTTAACGTCGGCTCCCTTCTTTTAGGCGATTCTTTCGCCGTTTCTATCTTGAAATTTACAAAATCTTGCAAAAATGCGAGTAAAATTGAAGTATATTTGCAAAAAATTTATCAATCATCAAATCTGTGATCAAATCAAGAAATGTTTGCTATTTCGCTGTCGTCATACAGTCGTTATGATGCAAACTTTAAATTGGACCAATTAGTGTCCGCTATTCATGACAGTCCGCCATATTTTTGAGGTCAGTGAGGATGACCACCCACTCAACACCGTTGGTCACCCACGCCCGCGATACTTGATGAACTTTAGACTCCGCTAATGCTTTCGTTTCCCCGGGTGTAAATAGCCGGGGGGAATTAGTACCCTCGCACGGCGCTTCGCGCCGTCGGCTCGGGGATTATTCATCGTGGTTTGACTGGCAGCTCTCTCTCCCTAACGAGTAAAATCGTCTGGCGTTAGACACAGTAAAATTATAATGTGGGTTTTATCTGGGCGCATTGCCATTTAGAGGGTCTTGATCATTAGCTATATATATACTGTATTGTATTAAATACCACCTATAAATTCAAGTTTCATCTTGAATTCTTTTATGCTAATACATATGCTGATTCATTTGCATGCAAATATATGCATTACTGGATTTCTCCTCTACTTATTTTAGTTATTTTTTTCCCTTTGATAGAACATTGGACCTACAGTATTGTTATGGATCATTCTCTGTTTTTGTTGTTTAGAATCAACATTATTTCGATTAACTGTTAGTTGTCAAAGTAAAGTTTCGTTAATGTTCCACAATGTTCTCATAATTAGGAAGTAGAATAAAGCAAGCATTTACAAGAAAATTTCCGGTTTTTGAGTATTGACAGGTTATAAAAAAGCTTAATGGGATTTGTTGCGTAGAACTACAATTGGTACGACGCCACTTTTTATATTGCATCATATATTGCTCAGAAACAGTAGCTTTCATTTATCAAATAAAATTAATATTAATATATTCTTCCTTTCTCAATATTAATGGACATTTGCCAACATTAAATAAAACTATAGCTAGATTTTGTGCCACGGCAAAATCTGAACGTTAAAAACCAGACCGGAAAGGACAGAGGCTTTTGGGGGCAGCGTTTGAAGATAAGGCTTGAATTTATACTGTTGCTGATCGGTTCGCACTGTTGTCAATCATCTCCGTAAATCGTGCGTTAGGGATGCCACAACGAAACGCATAAAAAGATCAGTTTGATCGGGTTTTCTTAACGGTAGTTTGCAATTCCCTAGATCATGATATGTACAGGGGTCGACAAAAAAAGTGCCCCCCCCCCCATAAGAAAGTCTTAACAAAAGTTATGTTTTTGAACTTACTTGCTTAGTATTGTGTATGTGTGAATAAAATTTGTGATTTGAAATCAATTAGGTTTAGAAAAATAGATACGTTTAGAGAGATTTTACACAAAAGTAAAGCTGTCGAATAATTTAAATCAGAAATGTGCCAAAAGTATCAAATTCTTCTCGCCACAATGTTTGATATTCCTAACTTAGTCACAAAAATGGAATGGCTTAAAGCTCCAAAAGTTAAGGTAATGTAGTGCAGTAAAGTAAGTAATTTTATAACAACGAGGGTGTGCCCCCAAGC